TCGTGCAATGCGCGCGTCTGTCTCTCTCCTCCAACCCGGGCGACAAGCGCTCCTCTCCAACGCGCCCCGAACTTTTCTCAAAACCGCCGACCTACGACGAGACCTTGAGCGGTTAGGCAAAGCTGCGTCGTTGCGCTGCCCGTGCGCACGCGGGACCCTGAACCGGCGCACGTCTTGCCGTTTCAGAGACAAACTTTAGCGACTTTAAACGGCAACGACACGGAACGTAGCGTGGATTTGAAGTACGCGACGAAAGGCTACGTCTACACCGTGCACGCGTCCACCGCATTGCCGCGTTGCTGCTTGTGCGGTGGCTTGGGCCATGCCTGTGCAAAGTGCACGGGCAAAGCAAAAATTAAAAATAAAGACGTGCAGCCTGCAACGAACCTCACAGCAGCAGCGCCAGCAGCAGCCGCCACAGCCTCAGCAGCGCCGGCAGAGGCAGCAGCTGCAGCACCGGGAGCAACAGAAGCAGCAGCAGCAGCCGCAGCAGCCTGTGTAGTGGCAGCAGCAGCAGCTGCTGCAACAGCAGCAGCAGCCAGAGCAGCAGCAGCCACCACAGCACGAGCGCCAGCTGTTGCAGCAGCAGGCCGCTGACTCGGCGGCCGGTCGCGCAATCCCACAGACCGACGACGAGGATGAAGACGGCTTCACCCCTCGTCACTTCGCGCAAGCGCAGGGTGAAGCCCGGGCCCGGCGGAGGAGGCCTCGCGGCCCCTGACGCTAAGCGCGCGGCCACCGCCGATCACGAACCCTACCCAAAGGTGGCAGAGCAGGACGAGCAACACCCCCCAGCGAGCGCCATCCAGAAGGCACTGCGGGGGGTGAATATGAAGACACGCTCGATGGGGACCCGCCTGAGGACAGCACGGTGGGAAAATTGCCACCGCCACCGCCGCCACCGCCGCCTCAGCATCCTCGGGGCAAGGCGAACGGCGTCACGCTGTAGGAAGGCGACGAAGGCCGGCTCACCTCACCCGAAGGGAGAGCAACAGAACCTCCACTACCAGAGGGCAGCCACCCCCCTGTTCCCGACGGGGCCCTGCCATCACCAACGGTAAACGAGGTTTCTGCGTAGTCGCAGTTTGACGAGCTTGGAGGACTCTGACGACGAGGTGTCGGAGACCGAAGGAGAGGACGACGTGAGTGAGCTCAGCTACTCGCAAGTCAACGGCGAGTGCGAATATTCACCTGGGGTCATCCACAGCTTCCTAGAGCAAACTTTCAGGAAGCGTAAAGTCAGAGTCAGGGCCTTTTTCCCTGACCTCACCGCTTTCCTCAAGGCGTCCCAACAAATTTGCCGCAATTGCGACAGGTTTGGTTTCACGACACAGCAATGGTATCGCCTAAAAGCGTTCATGCGCAAGGCGAAGAGGGAGCTTACTTCTGCTCAGAAGTAACCCCACAGCTACTGTTAACACTACCACCACCACACAACTACATGATGGTTTCAGCTATTGGGGTTGATGGTCTGAACTGTAACAGCGCTCGCAGGCACAAGAGGTGGGACCAGATCTGCCGCTTTGTCGGGGAACACAAAGCAGATGTGACTCTCCTCCAGGAAACCCACCTTGACCAGATGTGACTCTCCTCCAGGAAACCCACCTTGACCAGATGTGACTCTCCTCCAGGAAACTCACCTCGACGCCACTCTGGAGGCCCAACGCCAGCCTTTCCTAGGCGGCCGAGGCCTTCTTCAGCCACGCCGAGGACAACCTCGCCGGCGTTGCGATTGTGCTCGGTTCGCGGTTTGCACCAGAGAACGTCTCCTTCAAAGAAACCGTCAAAGGTCACTTGATTTCTGTCGACTTTGTCCCTCAGTAGCTGCAGGCTGAGGTGCTTTAACGAGAGGAAGCTCTTCTTCAGCGCGCTGCGGGACGCGCTCGTGACAGACGACGTGGACGACGCTGCTCACCATCGTGGGGGGAGACTTCAACTGCACCCTCGACCCGGCTCTCACCGCCAAACCTCACCCTGAATCCGCACGGCCGCTAGCCGACCTCGTGCGGAGGCTGGATCTGCATGACGTGCGGCGACCGCAGCATCCGGCCGAGCGGCAGTACTCTTGGTGCCGCTGCGGCCCTCAAGGCAGGATAAGCCTTGGCAGGCTCGACCGACTGTACGTCAATGCCAGCGGCGTTCACCTGCTCAGGGACAGTAATATCGTTCCCTCCGGGTTTTCCGATCACCGCCTGGTCTCCGTGCTGCTGCGAATTCCCAGAGCGGAGCAGCACAGCGCCTACTGGAGACTCAACGTGCAGCTGCTTGACGACACCGACTTCAGAGAAACCTTCAAAGCCTTTTGGGCTCAGTGGCTGCCTGCCAAAGGCAGCTTCAGCTCCCACCAGCTGTGGTGGGACAACACAAAGGCGCAGGTCAGGGTTCTCTGTCAGCGGTTCATGAGCCAGCACGCCGCCGCCAAGAACGAGGTGGCGCGCCAACTGCTGAACGAGCTGCTGGCGCTAGAGGCGGAGCTGAGCTCATCCCACGACACACAGCAGGGTGAGACGCTACTGGAGAAGCAGCGGCGTTTCAGGTCCATCACGACCGAGCAGGCACTTCGTGCTTTTGTGTGCAAAAAGATGCAGCACCTGTCACAGATTAACTCTCCCTCTAAGTTTTTATTCCGCTTAAACAAAGCACCGGCCAACACCAACAAAATTTCCAGTTTGCGAACCCCAGATGGACAAACAGCCACATCTGAGAGCGAGATCGCCAAGACCGTCAGATATTTCTATTCGCAACTTTTCACCGCTGAGACCATACACGACGAGGCTGTCCGGGAGCTACTGGACGGGGGCCCTACCTTAGGAGCCCCCGAGCGGGATCGTCTGGACAGCCCCGTCACCCCGCAGGAGCTCCACACCGCTGTGAAAGGGCTCGCGGCTGGTAAAGCCCCGGGGATTGACGGCCTGCCGGTTGAGTTTTGCGCGTTCTTCTGGGATGAGGTTGGCCCTCCAACTGCTACAATTGTTGACGGAGAGCCTGCAGAAGGGTGAACTCCCACAGAGCTGCAGGAGAACAGTGGTCTCCCTGCTACCCAAGAAGGGGGACCTGCGCCTCCTCGTGAACTGGCGACCCGCGTCCCTCTTGTGCGCTGACTACAAATCTTCTCCAAGGTGCTGGCAAACCGTCTCAAGACAGTGCTGGGTCAGCTGATCCTGCCGGAACAGTGGTATTGCATCCCCGGCTGGTGCATATACGACAACATCGGTTCGGTCAGAGACGTAATCTCTCTTGCAGAAGCACACAACATGGACTTGGGTCTCCTCTTCTTAGATCAGGAGAAGGCCTTTGACAGGGCGAGTCACGAGCACCGTGGACAAACTCCTAACGTCACTCGGTTTCGGCCAGGCCTTCATCTCGCACGTGAGGCTCCAGTACACGCGGGCACATCCAGCCTCACGAAGATAAACCAGCGGCTCGGCGTCCCCTTTCCCTGTGACGAGGGCGGTCAGACCTGGGATGCCCCCTCTCGGGGCTGCTGTTACCCCCTGTCCAATGAGCCACTGCTACGCCACCTGAAACGAAATCTGTCTGGCCTCAAAGTTCCGGGACCTGAGAACGCGATCGTCAGGCTCTCGGCTTACACAGACGATGACGTGATGCGTCGTGCTCAATGACGTCCGTGACGTCTCCACGCTCTGCCAGGCGGTTGCGGTGCACGAGAGGGCCTCCTCCGCCAGGGTCAACTGGGCCAAGTGCGAGGCCCCCTCTGTGTGTTTGAGGTCACAAGGCGGCGTTCGTTCTGTGCTCCTCCCAGGAGGAGTCAGTTGGCAGGCCGACGGAGTCAAGTAGTTGGGGGTTTACCTGGGGAAACCACGTGACGTCGCTCTGAACAACTGAACAAAGCTGGCCGACACAATCGAGGCTAAATTACTGACATGGGCACCATGCCTCGCTCCGCAGATGTCATTCAGGGGCCGAGTGCTCGTCGTTAACACACTGGCTGCATCCGTGCTGTGGCACAAGACCAAGGCCCTCCAGCCTCCTGCTTGGCTACTCACCAGAGTCAACCGCTCACTCGCGCACTTCGTCTGGCACGGGAAACACCGGCTCAGGCCGGGCGTTCTCTGCCTGCCGGTGGGCGAGGGCGGCCAGGGTCTAGTGGACGTCGCCGCCAGGGTCACGAGCTTCAGGCTCGTGGCAGTCAGGCGGCTGCTGTACGACCAGGAGGAGCTACCCTGGAGGTCGCCGGCCCTCGCCCTGCTGAGGAATGCAGGGGGGTGCCTGGGGTACGGACAGGAGCTCTTCCTGATGGACCTGAGCCTGGTCGACTACACGAGGCTGCCGGGTTATCACTGGAGCCTCTTGGACGCGTGGCGGAGCTTCGAGTGGAGCGGAACGCTCACGTCCTACGACCTCGCGCGGTTCCTCAACGAGCCCCTCGTTCTGCAGCGGCCTCTTACAGGGGATCAGAGGAGAGAGGACCCTGAGGCTCTACGCCTCACATCGGCAGGGCTGCGGACAGTCTTCCACCTCGTGCAGGCCCTCACCAGCCCGAGTGGAAGACCGCAGCTGAGATCGCCAGCACCGCTAGGGGACTCCGCTCCACGAGAAGCTGCTGCGGGACGTCGCTCCGTGCCATGAACAAGCTGCGCCTGAAGCTGGAGGCGTCGGTGGACGGTGGCGTACCTCCCCCCCTCCCCCCCCCCCCCCTCAAATGCTGGGGAGTCGGAAAAGTCCTCTGTACCGGCGTGGACGGCACTCTCACGTTCACCTTCTGAAGCGCTCGCTCGCTGCCGTGGAGCGTGCGACGACCACCACCACCACCACCACGTGACTTTTATTTTGTGTTGCGTGCAGCGCATTTAGAGCCACAGCGCCGTTGGTTTTTATTGTGTTATTTGCTGCTGCTGGTGACTTTGTGTGTTTCGTATCGAAATCGCCTCCAGTGCTGTTGCTGCTGGCGGCAATAAAAGTTGTTTAAAAGTCAAAGTCTGTCTCTCTCTGTCTCTCTCTCTCTATCTCTGTCTCTCTCTTTCACGTTGTTGCGCAAGGAGCCATTCGGCGAGCCTGATGTGGGCTACAGATCAGGAGGAGGTGGCGATGATGATGCTGGTGGTGGTGGTGCAGGGAGGAAACCATCTCTCTTCAGGGCCATGCTGCGCACCTACAGGAGGCCTCTGATCGAGAGTGCGATCTTCAAGCTGATCTACGACCTCCTGGTGTTCGTGAATCCCCAGGTCCTCAAGTAAGAGGCCGTGCCCCCAACGTGGCCAAACAATCACGGTCACCGTAATCTCACTATGTGTGTCTGTCTCTCTGTTTCTCTCATTCTCTGTCTCTCTGTTCATCTCTGTCTCACTCTCTGTGTTGCTTTCTCTGTTTCTCTCATTCTCTGTTTTGCTCTGTCTCACTAACTGTGTGTCTCTCTTTGACTCTGTTCTGTTTTGCGTTGTCTCACTCTGTCTCTCTCCTCTGTGTATCTCGTTCTCTGTTTTGGTCTGCTTCAGTCTATGTGTCTTTCCCTGTCTCTTTGTTCCTCTCTGTCTCAATGTCTGTGTCTCTGCGTGTGTATCTGTCTCTCTCCTTCTCTGTATTTCTCTGTCTCACTCTCTGCGTCTCTTTCCTTCCCTCTGTTTCTATCTGTCTCACTCTCTGCGTCTCTGTGCCTCTCTCTGTCTCAATTTCTATCTGTCGTTGTCCGTATCTCTCTCTCTCTCTCTCATTCACTACCTGTATATCTCTTTGGCTGTCTCTGTCTCACTGTGTCTCACTCTCTTTGTCTCTCTCTCTCTCCGTCTCTCTATCTCCATCTCTCTCCATCTCTCTCACTCTCCTTCGAATGCTGGGCGGGGGCCGGAAAAGGCCTCTGTACCGGCGTGAACGTCACCCTCCTTGTCACCTTGTCACGTGCTCGCTCATCGGGTGTGGCCTGCGCGATGACGACCACCACCACCACCACGTGACGTGTTTGTGTCGTGCGTGTCGTGGTTAAAAAGTCAAAAGTTCCTCTCCATCTCTCTGTCCATCTCTCTCTCTCCCCACCTCTCTCCACGGCTGACTCTCTCTCTCCGTCTCTCTCTCTATCTCTCTCTCTCTCCGGAGGCCGTGATGGTGGGGAGGATGTCGTGATACACTCACTCATCTTATACTGACTCACTCACACATCATACACTGACTCACACAGCATACACTCACACAACCATTGACCCATTCACTCATCATACAATGATTCACTCATCATACACTCATAATACGCTGACTCACTCACACATCATACACTCACTCACACTGCCACTGACTCACTCATCTTACACTGACTCACTCACACATCATACACTGACTCACTCACACATCATACACTGACTCACTCACACAGCATACACTGACTCACTCATCATACGCTGACTCACTCACACATCATACACTCACACAACCACTGACCCATTCACTCATCATACAATGATTCACACATCATACACTCACTCACACAGCCACTGAATCACACATCATACACTGACTCAATTATCATACGCTGACTCACACATCATACACGCACTACCATTGACTCACTCACACATTACACACGGGGAGTGTCATGCTAACAGATATGGCTGCAAGTTTGTTCGTACATGTTATGTATATCGTTTATTGTTAAATTTGAATCAAGGTTCCTATGATTACTGTTGTTACATTGTATTTTATAGCTTTATTTTGGTGATTTCTAAAACATATGGTTAAGCCATGTTTATTGCAGAAGTGTGGAGTTGGCCTGATAACTTGAATCTATATTGTCTTATGGTTGTTATTGTTTGTCTTGCATCACACTGGGATTTTTGCACACAGCGTTGAAATACGGTGGTTTTTTTTCTGAAAGATTTGCTGGTTTATCCCAGGATGTTTCTGTTGTTCGTCGTCGCTTTAAGATGTTATCTGTTCATATTTTGTTTGTTGCGGTTGCACCCGACTCAAGAGCCGCATGGCTCACAGGGTTATACCAAATAAATTAAACTTGAAAACTCTCTATCTCTCTCCGTCTCTATCTCTCTCTATCTTTATCTCCATCTCTCTCTCTCTCCATCTCTCTCTCCGTTTCTCCCCCTCTCTCTCCACATTTCGCTTCATCTTTCTCCATCTGTCTCTCTCCCTGTCTCTCCATCTCTCTCTCCATCTCTCTCTCCATCTCTCCCCCTCTCTCCCCATCTATCTCTCTCCCTGTCTCACTCTCTCCATCTCTCCCCTCTCTCCCCATCTATCTCTCTCCCTGTCTCACTCTCTCCATCTCTCCCCTCTCTCCCCATCTATCTCTCTCCCTGTCTCACTCTCCCCGTCTCTCCCCCTCTCTCTCCATCTATCTCTCTCCCTGTCTCACTCTCTCCATCTCTCCCTCTCTCTCTCTCTCCATCTTTCTCTCTCCCTGTCTCACTCTCTCCATCTCTCCCTCTCTCTCCATCGATCTCTCTCCCTGTCTCACTCTCTCCGTCTCTCCCCCTGTCTCTCCATCTATCTCTCTCCCTGTCTCACTCTCTCCGTCTCTCCCCCTATCTCTCCATCTTTCGCTCCATCTTTCTCCATCTGTCTCTCTCCCTGTCTCACTCTCTCCGTCTCCCCCCCTCTCTCTCCATCGATCTCTCTCCCTGTCTCACTCTCTCCATCTCTCCCCTCTCTCTCTCCATCTTTCTCTCTCCCTGTCTCACTCTCTCCATCTCTCCCTCTCTCTCCATCGATCTCTCTCCCTGTCTCACTCTCTCCATCTCTCCCTCTCTCTCCATCTTTCTCTCTCCCTGTCTCACTCTCTCCGTCACTCCCCCTCTCTCTCCATCTATCTCTCTCCCTGTCTCACTCTCTCCGTCTCTCCCCCTCTCTTCATCTTTCTCTCTCCCTGTCTCACTCTCTCCGTCTCTCCCCCTCTCTTCATCTTTCTCTCTCCCTGTCTCCGTCTCTCCGTCTCTCCCCCTCTCTCTCCATCTATCTCTCTCCCTGTCTCACTCTCTCCGTCTCTCCCCCTCTCTCTTCATCTGTCTCTCTCCCTGTCTCACTCTCTCCGTCTCTCCCCCTCTCTCTCCATCTCTCCCCCTCTCTCTCCATCTGTCTCTCTCCCTGTCTCACTCTCTCCGTCTCTCTCCCTCCCTCTCTCTGGACAGAGCGATGATCTCCTTCACGGACGACCCGCGCATCTACGAGTGGAAGGGCTACGTCTACGCCGTGGTGCTCCTTCTCACCGCTCTGCTGCAGTCCGTACTGCAGCAGCAGTACTTCCTGCGCTGCTTCCTCATCGGCATGCGCGTGCGGTCCGCCACCATCGGACTCATCTACCAGAAGGTAGCCCCCCACCACTGCCACCCACCACCCTGCCACCCAACCCACTCGTCTCGCCTCGCCCCCCCCCCCTGCTACTCGCCACCCACCCACCACCACTCTATCACCCCCCCCCACCACTCACCTCGCCCCACCCACTCACCACCATATTCTCCCCACCATTCACCTGGCCTGCCCCACTCTATTCCCCGCCACCATTCACCTTGCCCCACAACCCTATCCCCCCCCCCCCACCACCACCCTATCTTCCCACCCCCATATCCCCCACCCATTCACATCGCCCCCCCCCTACTCTATCAACTCACCCACCCACCACTCATCCACCCACCCACCACTCATCCACCTATGTATGTTGAAGGTTTTTTGCACCACACGTATCAAACCTACTAACTCATTCACCCACCCAACAACTCCTTCACCCACCAAATCAACTAACCCACCCACCCACCAACTCACCCACCCCATCAACTCAACCACCCACCCACCCACTCACCGACCCACTAACCCACCCACCACTCATCCACCTACCAACTCACCCACCCACTCACCCACCCACTAACCCATCCATCTACCCACTGCTCATCCACCAATGTATGTTGAACTTCTTATGCACCGTACGTAGCCAACCTACTCACGTATCAAACCTACTAACTCATTCACCCACCCAACAACTCCTTCACCCACCAAATCAACTAACCCACCCACCCACCAACTCACCCACTCCATCAACTCAACCACCCACCCACCCACTCACCGACCCACTAACCCACCCACCACTCATCCACCTACCAACTCACCCACCCACTCGCCCACCCACTAACCCATCCACCTACCCACCGCTCATCCACCAATGTATGTTGAACTTCTTATGCACCGTGCGTAGCCAACCTACTCACCCACCCACCCACCAACTCACCCACCTACTAACTCGCCCACCAGCTCACACAGACATCCAGCCACCACTCAACCACTTACTAACTCACCCACCCACCTATTCACCCATCCAGCCGTATACATATCCACGCGTGCGTGTCGTTCCGGCCTTCACAGTCGCGGCGACTCGCTACCACTATCAGCACTTGCCCTGACAGCCTGTCAGAGGCTACACGGTGGGGAGAGATCTGTGTCTTTGTGTACCCCCCCCCCCACTCCAGGGCAGTATCATCCAATAGGCTACATTAGGCAAAGTGTCCTAGGGCGTAATGGAAACGAAAAGGGCCTGCGAATAAAAAATAATAGCCGGCCACGTTGTTTGTTGTTGCCGATGAACATGAAGGGCATCCTTTTTAAAGCGGCGTCGTCCGACGTGATGATCATGGCAACAGAAACGTTGTTTGGGAAGAATGAATGAGCAGAGGTTTTACCCCTTTCTGGCAATGAAACAGGGGTTGTGTTAAGATGTTCAAACACCAAGTGGACTCGACCTTGTGCCAGGAATCACGTTGCCGCATTAACCACGCACTGCCCTTGTTGTGAACACGCGAACACACATTGTTGTGATGTTAATAACATAATATTATATTGTAATAATAAAAACATTGCTGTGATAATATAATAATAATACTATTAATATATGGGCATTGTCTTTGCAACTGATGTAGGGCCTTCGCTCAATGCCCCCGACCGTTCGTTAGAGGCTACAGCGTGGCCGAGATATCTCTTCGTCTTTGATGCACCCCCTCCTACCCACCTCGCAATGGCAACAAAGATCCCCCCGCATAGCCTTAGCCGACGGCTCGGGCAAGCCGCTGTTCAGGAGCAACTCGCGGAGGCCGCAACGGCACACGAGGTGGTGGGCGGGTTGGGCCCCACGCCCTAAAGGCCTTCGTCTCCCCCAGCGGCGACGTCTGCACATCGCACCAGCTGCTCATTTGTGGCCGAGTCGACCTGGGCGAGGCGCGGGGACCGGCTCAGATAATCGCCACCGGTGGTGTCGGCCGTGAGGAGCGGGAACCGAAGCCGGGTCGCCGGTTTCGTGGCACGGCGCTAACCGCTGCGCCACCGCTCCCCCGCCCGTACCACCCACCCGCCCCGCCAGTCGCTGACCATCTCCAACGGCGCGCGCAAGCACTGCACCGCTGGCGAGACGGTGAACCTCATGTCGGCCGACGCGCAGCGCTTCATGGACGTGGCGCCCTTCCTCCACCTGGTGTGGTCGGCGCCACTGCAGATCGCCCTGTCACTCGCCTTCCTGTGGGCTGAGCTGGGGCCCGCCTCGCTGGCGGGGCTCGCCGTCATGGTGCTGGTGGTGCCCGTGAACGCTCTGCTCGCCACGCGCTCCCACCTGCTGCAGGTGGGAGCGCGTGGCGGCGGACAGATGGGGGTGGGAGATTTGGTTTGGGTGGGAGGGGGGAGGTGAGGGGGGGGGTGAGCGGAGAGTCATCGGAATCCGAAGAGCTGTGAAGCCGTTCGCTCTGTCATCGGCCAGCCCCTGACGTAGATCCCCACAATTCCTCTGGTAGAGGGAGAGGGAGGCGGGGTGGGGGTAGGGGAGGAGATTGGGGGAGGAGAGGGTGGGGGAAGAGTTGGAAACACATAGCCCAGAATTGGGATCTGTGTTTATACTCCACCAACCCCCTACCAAGATCCCCACAACTTCCCCCCACGGTATAGGGAGGTGGGGGGGGTGATTGGAGGATGTGGGGGAGGGGAGATTTTTTTTTTGGGGGGGGCGGTTGTGGGGTAAGAGTTTGAATCTGATGAGCGATGAAGCTCTTTAACACCGATGTCAAGTCGGGCGGTGTGTGGGGTCATCCTTACCCGTCTCTCCGTCACCCACCAACCCCCTACATAGACGACGGCCCCCACACTCACCCGTGTCGCCTCGAGTGGACTGTCGGGTGGCACGTGCTGTTAGCAGCAGCAGCAGCCTGTGAAGGTCGGCACTGCCGCTAACGAGGGGGTGGGTGACCAGCACCACGCCCGGCCGCCTTTGTCTCCCCAGCGGCGATGTTTGTTTATTCAACTCAGCACCGGGTACCCATTTGAAGGCTGAGTCGACCTGGATGGAGGACGCGCACGACCCATGTTCTGATAAATCGTCACGGGTGGTGTTGGTGTCCGTGAGCGGGAATCGAACTGGGATTCAGGGCCGGGGTTCGGAGCGTGCGTGCGTGTGGAACGCACGAGAGAGAGAGAGACATGGGGAGAGAGAGGCATCGCAGGGTGGCATAGAGACCTGTAGACTCACACAGAGACCCGTAGACTCACACAGAGACCCGTAGACTCATACCGAGACCCATAGACTCACACAGAGACCCGTAGGCTCACACAGAGACCCATAGACTCACACAAAGGCCCAGACTCACACAGAGACCCATAACCTCACACAGAGACCCATAGACTCACACCGAGACCCATAGACTCACACAGAGACCCATAGACTCACACAGAGACCCATAGACTCACACAAAGACCCATGGACTTACACAGAGACCCATAGACTCACACAAAGGCCCAGACTCACACAGAGACCCATAGCCTCACACAGAGACCCATAGACTCACACCGAGACCCATAGACTCACACAGAGACCCATAGACTCACACAGAGAACCATAGACTCACAGAAAGGCCCAGACTCACACAGAGGCCCATAGACTCACACAAAGGCCCAGACTCACACAGAGACTTATAGACTCACACAAAGAACCATAGGCTTACACAGAAACACATAGACTCACACAAAGGCCCATAGACTCACACAAAGACTCGTAGTCTCACACAGCGACCCATAGACTCACACAAAGGCCCAGACTCACACAGAGACCAATGGACTCAGACAAAGACCCATACACTTACACAGAGACCAATGGACTCACACATAGACCCATAGACTCACACAGAAACTCACAGAGGAAACCATAGATTCACTCAGAGACCCATAGATTCACACAAAGACCCAGACTCACACAGAAACCAATAGACTCACGCATAAACCCATAGACTCACACAGAGACCCGTAGACTCACATGTAAATCATAGATTCACTCAGAGACCCATAGCCTCACACAAAGGCCCACATAGAGACACGTAGACTCGCATATAAATCATAGATTCACTCAGAGACCCATAGCCTCACACAAAGGCCCACATAGAGACACGTAGACTAGCATATAATCCCATAGACGTGAAAACCCCGTTATAACACCGTGGTGACAACATGATGACCCATTGACGACATCGTGATAACCCCGTGGTGACCCCGCTATGACCCCGTGATGACCCCCGTGATGACCCCGTAACCCTTGCTGCCTTCAGATGCAAAACATGAAGGTGAAGGATGAGCGCATCAAGCTGATGAACGAGATCCTGAACGGAATCAAGGTGAGTGACTGTGCGTGTGTGTCAGTGTGTGTGTGTCAGTGTGTGTTTAACAGCAGAGGTCTCACTCGGAATAAGTCGACCGGCAATATCTTTTCATTGGTTGCGTAACGCTGTGTGGAAGCTACCTGGTCTGTCGCTCCGCACGAAGCTTCAGGTCTTCTCGGCCACGGTCATTCCCTCCCTTCTCTACGCTTGCGAAACGTGGACCCCCTAATGGAACATCTTCGCCGGTTAGAAACATTTAGGCTAGCCTGCCTACGATCCATCCTGGGTTTAACCAGACTGGATTGTGTGAGGAGCTCACAAATCCTTGAAAGATCTGGGCAAGGTCCCATCGGTGAGCTCCTCCGGCGGGCAAGGCTGCGATGGCTGGGTCATGTAGCCCGCATGCCCAGCCACCGCATGCCGAAAACAGCTTTTGTTCGGCCGGATTGAGGGGGCTAAGCGGGCGCGGCACGGGCTAGAGAAGAGATGGAGTGATGTGGTACAGGAGGACGTGGAGCTGAGTGGACTTGCCGATGACTGGTACCAGCGGTGTCAAGATCGGCCTCTGTGGAGGAGGCTCGTGAAGGATGCTACTGGGCAGTTGGAGGCAGTCGCCCTCCAACAACAACGGAGGGCGGAGGAGCGACGCTCACAACAACGAGCGGAACGCCGGGTGGCTAAAGCACAGCAGGTTGGCACAGTAGGGGGCACAGGTGGTGCATCAGCCAGTCATCTCAGTCAGTCGACCCGTGGCACCTGGGTCTGCCCCGTGACCTCCTGCCAGCGGGCGTTCGACACTTCACGTGGCCTCAGGATGCACATAGCCTGGCACAAGCGTCGTTTTGACGTCACCGCCACTTAGTGGCGAATGGCGGTTGTTGTTGTTGTGTATCAATGTGTGTGTGTCAGTGTGTGTGTCAATGTGTGTGTGTCAGTGTGTGTCAATGTGTGTGTGTGTACGTGGTGGTGTAGCGCTACGCTGCGCTATGAACTCGGCGACTCGGGTTCGATTCCCGCTCAGGGCCAACACCGGTGACAATTATCTTAACCGGTCCTGGGCCACCCCTAGGTCGACTCAGCCTCTAATGAGCACGTGGTGCGGTGCGTCGTGAACATCGCCACTGGGGAGACAAAGACGGCTAGGGGTGGTGTTGGCCACCCACCCCCTCGTGTACCGTTCCGGCCTTCATAAGTGCTGCTCGCTAACAGCACTTGCCCCTGCAGTCTGTTAAGGCTACACGGGGGATCTTTGTCTTTGGAGCGGTGGCGTTAGTGGTTAGCGCACCAGCGCTGTGAACCCGGTGACCCCCCCCCCCCGTCCCAGATCCTCAAGTACTTTGCGTGGGAGCTGTCCTTCGAGGAGATGGTGACGCACATCCGCGGCAGGGAGCTCAGAGTCATGAAGAGTTTCTCCTACCTCACCTCCATCTCCTTCTTCATCTTCGCTCTCACTCCCTTCCTGGTGGGCTCCCTCCCCCCTCCCCCCCTCCCCCCCTCCCCCCTCCCTCCCTCCCCCCTCCCCCCCTTCCCCCCTCCCTCCCTCCCTCCCCCGCTCCCCCCCCCTCCCACCTCCCTCCCTCCCCCGCTCCCTCCCTCCCCAACTCCCTCCCTCTCCCGTTCCCTCCCCCCTCCCCCCTCCCTCCCTCCCCCCTCCCTCCCCCGCTCCCTCCCTCCCCCCTCCCCCCCTCCCCCCTCCCCTCCTCCCTCCCTCCCCCCCTCCCTCCCTCCCCCGATCCCTCCCTCCCCTCCCCCCTCCCTCCCCGCCCCCCTCCCTCCCCTCCCCCCTCCCCCGCTCCCTCCCTCCCCTCCCTCCCCACTTCCCCCGCTCCCTCCCCCCCTCTCTCCCCCGTGATGGTGGGGATCATAGTGACGATCGTGACGACGGTGACCATGACGACGGTGACGACGGTGACGACGGTGACCATGACGACGGTGACCATGACGACGGTGACCATGACGACGGTGACCAAGACGACGGTGACGACGGTGACGATGGTGACGACGGTGACGACGGTGACCATGACGACTGTGACCATGACGACGGTGACCATGACGACGGTGACCATGACGACGGTGACGACGGTGACGACAGTGACGACGGTGACCATGTTGACGGTGACCATGACGACCGTGACGACGTTGCCGACGGTGACCATGACGACGGTGACCATGACGACCGTGACGACAGTGACGACGGTGACGACGGTGACCGTGACGACGGTGACCATGTTGACGGTGACCATGACGACCGTGACGACCGTGACGACGGTAACCATGACGACGCTGGCGTCAGGTGTCGCTGGCGAGTTTTGGAGTCTACATCGCCGTGGACGAGAGCCACGTGCTGGACGCCCAGAAGGCGTTCACCTCGCTGGCGCTCTTCAACATCATGCGCATCCCCATGGCCATGATCCCGCTTCTCATCTCCTTCCTGGTGCAGGTGGGCGCAGACTCGCTGACTCGCTCACACACTCGCACACTCACTCGACACACTCGACACACTCGAAACACTCGACACACTCGCACACTCGACACACTCGACACACTCGACACACTCGACACACTCACACACTCGACACACTCGACACACTCGACACACTCGACACACTCACACACTCGACACACTCGACACACTCGAAACACTCGACACACTCGCACACTCGACACACTCGACACACTCGACACACTCGACACACTCACACACTCGACACACTCGACACACTCGACACACTCACACACTCGACACACTCGACACACTCACACACTCGACACACTCACACACTCGACACACTCGACACACTCGACACACTCACACACTCGACACACTCACACACTCGACACACTCGACACACTCTACACACTCACACACTCACACACTCGACACACTCGACACACTCGACACACTCACACACTCGACACACTCGACACACTCGAAACACTCGACACACTCACACACTCGACACACTCGACACACTCGACACACTCACACACTCGACACACTCGACACACTCACACACTCGACACACTCGACACACTCACACACTCACACACTCGACACACTCGACACACTCGACACACTCACACACTCGACACACTCGACACACTCTACACACTCACACACTCACACACTCGACACACTCGACACACTCGACACACTCACACACTCACACACTCGACACACTCGACACACTCGACACACTCACACACTCACACACTCGACACACTCGACACACTCACACACTCGACACGCTCGACACACTCACACACTCGCACACTCACACACTCACACACTCGACACACTCACACACTCGCACACTCACACACTCACACACTCGACACACTCGACACACTCACACACTCGACACACTCGCACACTCGACACACTCGTACACTCGACACACTCGACACACTCACACACTCGACACACTCGACACACTCGCACACTCACACACTCACACACTCGACACACTCACACACTCGCACACTCGACACACTCACACACTCGACACACTCGACACACTCGACACACTCGACACACTCACACACTCGACACACTCGACACACTCTACACACTCACACACTCACACACTCGACACACTCGACACACTCGACACACTCACACACTCACACACTCGACACACTCGACACACTCGACACACTCACACACTCACACACTCGACACACTCGACACACTCGACACGCTCGACACGCTCCACACACTCGACACACTCGACACACTCACACACTCACACACTCGTACACTCGACACACTCGACACGCTCGACACGCTCCACACACTCGACACACTCACACACTCGCACACTCACACACTCACACACTCGACACACTCACACACTCGCACACTCACACACTCACACACTCGACACACTCGACACACTCACACACTCGACACACTCGCACACTCGACACACTCGTACACTCGACACACTCGACACACTCACACACTCGACACACTCGACACACTCGCACACTCACACACTCACACACTCGACACACTCACACACTCGCACACTCGACACACTCACACACTCGACACACTCGACACACTCACACACTCGACACACTCGACACACTCGACACACTCACACACTCGACACACTCACACACTCGACACACTCACACACTCGCACACTCGACACACTCGACACACTCACACACTCACACACTCGACACACTCACACACTCGACACACTCGACACACTCACACACTCGACACACTCGACACACTCCACACTCACACACTCGACACACTCGACACACTCACACACTCACACACTCGCACACTCGACACACTCGACACACTCGACACACTCCACACTCACACACTCGACACACTCGACACACTCGACACACTCGAAACACTCGACACACTCCACACTCACACACTCGACACACTCGACACACTCGACACACTCACACACTCGACACACTCGACTCGCTCCACACACTCGACACACTCACACACTCGACACGCTCGACACACTCACACACTCGACACACTCGACACACTCGACACGCTCGACACACTCGACACACTCACACACTCGACACACTCGACACACTCGACACGCTGGACACACTCGACTCGCTCACACACTCGACACGCTCGACACACTCACACACTCGACACACTCACACACTCGACACACTCGACACACTCGACACACTCACACACTCGACACACTCACACACTCGACACACTCGCAGACTCGACACACTCGCACACTCGATACACTCACACACTCGACACACTCGACACACTGACACACTGGACACACTCACACACTCGACACACTCACACACTCACACACTCGACACACTCGACACACTCACACACTCGACACACTCGACTCACTCACACACTCGACACACTCGACACACTCGACACGCTCACACACTCGACACACTCACACACTCGACACACTCGCAGACTCGACACACTCGACACACTCGACACACTCACACACTCGACACACTCGACACACTGACACACTCGACACACTCACACACTCGACACACTCACACACTCACACACTCGACACACTCGCACACTCGACACACTCCACACACTCGACACACTCGACACACTCGACACACTCACACACTCGACACACTCGACTCACTCGACTCACTCACACACTCGACACACTCGACACACTCGACACACTCACACACTCGACACACTCGACACACTCGACACACTCACACACTCGACACACTCGACACACTCACACACTCGACACACTCACACACTCGACACACTCGCACACTCGACACACTCACACACTCGACACACTCGACACACTCGACACACTTACACACTCGACACACTCGACACACTCGACACACTCACACACTCGACACACTCGACACACTCGACTCACTCGACTCACTCACACACTCGACACACTCGACACACTCGACACACTCACACACTCGACACACTCGACACACTCGACACACTCACACACTCGACACACTCGACACACTCACACACTCGACACACTCACACACTCGACACACTCGCACACTCGACACACTCACACACTCGACACACTCAACACACTCGACACACTCCACACACTCGACACACTCGCAGACTCGACACACTCGACACACTCCACACACTCGACACACTCGACACACTCGACACACTCACACACTCGACACACTCACACACTCGACACACTCACACACTCGACACACTCGACACACTCGACACACTCGACACTCGACACACTCACACACTCGACACGCTGACACACTCACACACTCGACACACTCACACACTCACACACTCACACACTCGACACACTCACACACTCGACACACTCACACACTCACACACTCGACACACTCGACACGCTCCACACACTCGACACACTCGTACACTCGACACACTCGACACACTCGCACACTCGACACACTCACACACTCGACACACTCACACACTCACACACTCGACACACTCGACACACTCGACACACTCACACACTCGACACGCTCCACACACTCGCACACTCCACACACTCACACACTCACACACTCACACACTCGACACACTCACACACTCGACACACTCCACACACTCGACACACTCCACACACTCGACACACTCGACACACTCGACACACTCACACACTCGACACACTCACACACTCGACACACTCGACACACTCGACACACTCGTACACTCGACACACTCACACACTCGACACACTCGACACACTCGACACACTCGCACACTCGACACACTCGACACACTCGACACACTCGACACACTCACACACTCGACACACTCGACACACTCGACACGCTTCACACACTCGTACACTCGACACACTCACACACTCGACTCGCTCACACACTCGACACGCTCCACACACTCGTACACTCGACACACTCACACACTCGACACACTCGACACACTCGACACACTCGACACACTCACACACTCGACACACTCCACACACTCACACACTCGACACACTCACACACTCACACACTCGACACACTCACACACTCGACACACTCGACACACTCACACACTCGACACACTCGACACACTCCACACTCACACACTCGACACACTCGACACACTCACACACTCGACACACTCGACACACTCCACACTCACACACTCGACACACTCGACACACTCGACACACTCACACACTCGACACACTCGACTCGCTCCACACACTCGACACACTCACACACTCGACACACTCACACACTCGACACACTCGACACACTCGACACACTCGACACACTCCACACTCACACACTCGACACACTCGACACACTCGACACACTCGACACACTCACACACTCGACACGCTCGACACACTCGACACACTCGACACACTCACACACTCGACACACTCGACACACTCGACTCGCTCCACACACTCGACACACTCACACACTCGACACGCTCGACACACTCGACACACTCACACACTCGACACACTCACACACTCGACACACTCGACACACTCGAAACGCTCGACACACTCGACACACTCACACACTCGACACACTCGACACACTCGACACGCTGGACACACTCACACACTCGACAGGCTCGACACACTCGACACACTCGACACACTCGACACTCGACACACTCGACACACTCGACACGCTGGACACACTCACACACTCGACACACTCACACACTCGACACACTCGACACACTCGACACTCGACACACTCGACACACTCGACACACTCACACACTCGACACACTCGACACACTCGACACGCTCACACACTCGACACACTCACACACTCGACACACTCGACACACTCACACACTCGACACACTCGACACACTCGACTCACTCGACACACTCGACACACTCACACACTCGACACACTCACACACTCACACACTCGACACACTCACACACTCGC